TTGCCAATAAAACCAGAAATAAAAAAGTGGCAGGATTACCTTGCCCCCCCCCCCCGATTGTATAACTGAAACAAGCACAACATTCAAGGGCTAAATTTGCTTGATGAGAAAGTGTCTGAAAACAAACTTAAATGCAGCTGTGAAGAAAGGAAACATGGGACTTATAGTCCTTTCTTGGTAATCCCATGACAACCTCTTGCAAGTTTATGGAGGGGGAGGGAAGAATACACTGTGAACCCTCTATCTATTTAGTAGTAAGCTTTCACTCTGGGACAAGGCCTTGCAACATCACGGACATCACAAGGTGCAAATTGCTTCTGACACATCTGTCAATAGCTCAGCAGGACACTCAACCGTCATGCACCCTTCCCGAATTTGTCCCGAATGAAGCTCAGCACCTTGATCAATAACAGGGACAATAAGGTTTGGGGGCAGGGGGCAATCAGGCCCTCAACCCTGCAGACAGCCAAGAAGGCACTTGGACAAAAAGCCACATTAAAGCAACAGCTTCCTAGTCATGAGGGTCAAGCAGTGTTGCCTCACCTCTGACCTTCTCCCACAGTCAGCGCATGCAACAACTGTCACCGAAGCAGCACCATCAGCCTGCATGGAAGGCAGTTAAGGGAAGCAGGATGGACACCATGGACAGAGTGGGTAGAGGTAATCCACACACACATACACAATATCAGAACCCAGGACTGTCCACTAACGCGAAATACAGGGAAATTCAGGATAGATTTAAAAATATCTCCTTATTCATCATTTCCAACCCAAGAGAGTATGAGAAAGGAACTACATAGAAGAGATTGGACTCCATCAAGAAAATAACTCAAAGGGAAACAGAAAGAGGACCCAATTTGGGGTGGGGAGAGAATCCAGCAAAATAAAGATTGAGTTTGAAAATGGGCCGGACTGCAGGACTGCATAGGGAAAATCTCCCCCCAAATTCCCCCAGTGCATCACTAAGGATGTTGGGAATTGCTCTATTGTAAGCGTCCTCCCTCCCAGTCCTATGGCTCAGAGTCGACTGAATGCAGCACATCCTGTGCTTCCCGGGACAGTCGCACGGCGGCTGCGGGTGGAGGCATTTGAAAAAAATCCCTATCTTGTTACTTCACACAACCCACTATGCTGAAACATGGGTGCCTACTTTTATGGCTTAGTCAGCACAGTTAGTTTACGGTTCAGAAGCAAGGAGTTCATGTGTTAAAGCACGGATCAGTTAATCAGAGTTTAGCACTTTGTATAAACCCTGCGGCTGCCAAGACCTTTGAATTCACAGCTACCAAATATGGCAACAGCCACCAATTTAGTTTTAAAATAGACAGGCCAAATTCATGGAGCACTGGGCTATTGCAGGTGGCTACTTCTGCTGGCTCTTTCCAATCAATCAACCGCCAGGATCACAGACAGCTTATTTTAAATACCAATGGCCAAGGAAGACCTGGATGCAGCTGACCAGTCCCTGTGAGAGGCCGTAGGATGCTAAATTCAGCAGGTTTTTGGCTTGGTCCAACAGGACTATTAAATACTTCTTGTCTGTTGCAACACTGTCAGATGCCAGTAAGACTCTCTTCTTGGGATCAAACCTGGATGCACTCTTACAGCAGAGGTATATTTTCTGTGGTATGTTGGGGTATAATGAATCAATGAAAGATTCATTGCCAGTAAGAACTACAGGCCCTAGTTGTGACCCTCCTTCTCAAGCCCACATCAAATGGATTATGAAGTCTAACCCTGGGGGATTATTTTCCTAGAACATCCAGGAATGCCAGCAGGGCCAGACTCAGAGGAGAAATTGAGGGCAGCAGGAACAGACAAACCATGTATTTGGAAGTACAGAGATCATGTTTATTACTGTTTAAAGTAGGGACAGGCACTTTGTGGCCAGCACCTGAGAATCCCCTTAGACATGCTGCCAAATTTCATAGGCACAACAGCTGAAAAATGCGGAGCAATTTCCTCTGGTTGTTAAATGGGAAACCCAATACAACAGTTGTATAAGCTATTTAAAACACATTCATACACCTCCCAAATGCCACTGTTAAGCTGTTGCCAACAGAAAGCAAGATCCGCTGAGTTTTTTTTAACAAGATCTACTGAAAAAGGATAGGAGGACATTACAGAAACATCAGCAACTGGATTGCTTTTACATTCAAACCCAATTGATCTCCCAGGCTGCTGCGTTACACACTTTTTCAGTCTCTTGCTCAAGACCTCAGTGTGAACAGTGAGGAGGCTCTTCTCTTCAATGTTCAGGTGCTTGAAACACTGGGTGTCATTATAACCATATTTTCCCCAAATCTGGGTGAAACGGAGAACCCCTCACCTGCAACATGGCCCACTCAGCACAGAAAAGAGTAAGGAATAGTAAGCGAAAAAGTAATCCTCATAATCCTAAAGGCAGAAGAAGAGAAAAGAAACCAACGCTATTCACTGTATGCCCAAATACCTTTCTATTCTCACAAACTCACTGCTTCCACCACACCCAAATGCCACTTCACACATTGCTTTTTGTTCACTAAACTTCTCATCTCTTTTTTTTATCAATTCCATCCAACCACAACTTTCTCCCTCTATCTTCCCCTACCTCTCTACCCATTCACTTTCTTCATATCTGTGTTTTGGAGTTCAGATTTCATTCATTCTCTCTAAATGATCAAACCACCTCCACTTCTTTCATACTGGCCAATTTTCTATGCAATGCACAATCATTCAGCACCTCTTCATTCTTGACCCCCTCTCTTCTTGTTTTACTACACAACACTTCTTCAGTATCCACCTTTCAATGCATT